GGCTTACGTGGCGTAGTGAAGACCAGAACGTGGTCTTCGCCCTAGTTCAACTGCTCTGTGATCTCCAGAGAGTGGGTCGACCTGCTCTTTCGAAGGTGGGTAGTTGGTTGATGATGTGTCCCCACAGAGGGGAGCACGTGGAGAACGTGTGAAGGACACGTTGTTCTGCTCGATAAGAGAGAAGGTTCTGCCCGCGGAGGGGCCATTGTCTGCCCGACGGGAAACATGTGCTCGACGGATGTAGCCCAAGCTGGATTGGGTCTAACAGAATATCATTGGGCTGGGTCTGCCCGGTCAAGCCGGGGTCCAGGCCAGAACAACTTTAAATTTAAATTTTTTAGGTACTCTCATGTTTGTAAGAAATGTTAAAATATCATTTTTTTAATTAATTAAAAGTTACATTATTTTTCAAATTAAAATTTTAATTAATATGACATTTATTTTGCATGTCTTTAATCTAAAAAGTAAAAATTGTAAATAAAAAATTAACAATAAAATTTAACTAATTTAAGAAAGTGCATGGTTAGTGTTTCAAATTTTCAATAATTTACAATAAATTTTGTTGTTAATATTATTATTCTTTTTTTCCCTCATGGTTAAAGATGTGTTTAATATGAAGATCACACCTATAGAAATAAAAAATAAAATACTGAAATTATGTTATCCCTCTTTTTTATATATTTTATTTTGTATATATAAGTTGAATGAGTGAAAAGTTACTCAAGCAAATAGATACGAGAGTTATTTAATGTTGTAATTGTCATTGTATATAATTGTGTATACCTATTCCATTGAAAAAAAATCTTCCCATTTATAGTACATATCAACACTTTGAAAAATATAACAACAAAATATGTAAATTTAAATGACAACTAATTCAACTATAATCAAACATCAAAGAAGAAAGATTAGAAACAAAGAATTTATCACGACAAAATATCACTAATTATAATCAAAATTAAAATAAATAAAAATAAGTATATGCAAAAGAAAAAGATTACTTGAAAAAAAAAAGATGATGATTTAAAAAGAAATAAAAAGAGAGAAGAATTGTCCTTTAGAGATGATGAGGGGTCCTAGTAATCTAGAGTTCGGCCTGAGAGATCATAAGCTTGACCAAACATTGTTCCCACCAAGATAATGAATACAAATTATTTTTAAAATAGAGTAAAATAACATCAAAACAATGTTCTAAATAATTCATTTGAACACAAATTATTCTTAACTATATGAAATAAGTGATGAACAACAAAAATTGAAACTATACGAATCAAGCATGCATGAAATCTAAAATAGCAATATAATTGTAAATTTGAGATGAATTATTTCATATTCAAACATAAAGAATCAAAAAAAATTATATACAACAAAAAAACATAAATAAAACAAAATTGTATCAAAGTTGGATGTAAAATTTAACATTTTTGTTTAATATAATTTCTTCATACATTTATATGATTGAATTATCCCAACATTTAAATGATAAATAGTAACATAATTGGTTAAATGACAAATTTTAAGTATAAAATAGTGATATATTTTAGATTGAGATAGATCTCAATTTTTCTAGATAAGATGGATATTACTTTTTTTTTCTTTCAAATTTGCTGCTTGAAATTCTATTGTACATGCAAGTTTTGTTGGTAAAGTCTTTTCCTCATCGGTTGCTGCCATATGAGAAGGAAAATTGACGGATAAAAATGAAGCAAAAAATTTCATATGAGGGAAGTTATTCAATTACCTTATATTTTGTTTTTTAAATATAAACGGTCATAAAATGGCTTTTTGATTTAAGAATGATGTAACCGGCTTTTTGATTTAAGAATGATGTAACGATCATAAAACGACATACGAAATGCTTGAAACTTTCCACAATCACACCAGCTCTTATCCAATTCAACACGGTAACATCCCCTAGGCCTTCCTTCGTTGTGATCCATAGACTCGGCAACATTGAACCAACCAGTTGTACGGTCAAAGATTGCGACCACGTGTGTGTTGGCTTTGGCAGCTTCCTCTTTCACGAAACATTAATTATTTTGCATGATGCATCAAGGTTTCGATGTCGTGTGCATGATTACATACCACACGACCCCCTCATAGCGGTGTACCTTAATCGTTGTGGGTTTGGTGATGTGATCGAAATCAAATCTTACTCTCTCGACATGAAATTTAATCTAGCGTTGTTAAAACGCTGGAGACCGGAGACACATACATTTCACCTACCTTTTGGTGAGTGTACTGTGACTCTTCAGGACGTTTACATGTTGCTCGGCCTACACATCGATGGTAAGGCCGTCAACGGCAAAGTTGGTGTCCCTGACCGACTTTGCGAAGATTTATTGGACGCCCCTATTTGTATGGATGCACCTCAGGCAGAAAGTGAGGGTCGCCCGAGAGGGCAGGGAATTAATTTAAAATACCTTAGAGAACAGTACAACCGTATTGTCTTAACTGATGATAGCACCGAGTATGAGAAAATACTCATAACTCGGTGCTATATTATGATTTTATTCGGGCACTTTTTATTTCCAGAGGGCACTGAAAATACCGTTCATACTATGTATTTACCATTATTGGGGAATATTAACAAAGTGTGCGAATATAGTTGGGGATTAGCTGTACTCGCCCATCTGTACAGCGCACTTTGTAAAACTTCAAAAAAAAATTCATGTACTTTTTATGGTTGTGCTTATCTTCTGCAAGCGTGGGGTTGGTCTAGGATGCCAATGCTTGCTCCAATGCTTCAATAAACCGGAATTCTTTTACACTCCCGTACGCCAACAAGTAAGTATCTTTTCAAGTTTTTTTAGCAAAAACATTTTCTTTTTAAGTTAATGATTTCTGATATGTGTTTTAGATGCTAATTTATATGTGTTTATTTTTTTAGGTGGTCTGTTCCAGGGATGAATTATCAGAGATGTCCCATGCACTCTATAATTCAATACCGCAACCTCATCGACCACCTTGGGTCAGATGATGTAAGTTATTTACCATTAATTTTTATAATGTATATGCATAAACTTGTATATCTCTGTCTAACTTATTTGTCCAACTTTATTGTAGTTTGTCTGGATGTCGTACGAGGGTCTCGACCACCAGCCCAACCCCGATGATGCTGATGTGTGGACATTAAGGACACCCATAATTAGGTTCACTACGGTGGAGATGCACCAAAGTGGCCGGGTGAAACTACAATTTGGGATGCATCAGGATATTCCAGATTCTCCGGTAGACTTGGGGTAGTGGCATCAAAAGCGGGTGGACGCACAGTGGAGTGTCAGTGATTGGAAGGAGTTTGCGAAGGAGTTGTGTAAACACTGGAATAGAAGAAGGCAGCACGTCTTAACCGACCGTATTGTGCACGGGGCTAGGCCAAGTCTTCAATATATGACTTGGTTTAGGTCTGTCACTACATCTCAGCCTTTCCTGTCCCAGCCAACCTATTTGGCCGACCCAAGGGAACACGAATCTTCGTCAAACACACAACAACAGTTCAGCGTCCAAAATCAGCCTTACGAAAACCCATACATGCCAACAAATACTCTATCAACAACAACATCCTTACATGCCACCCACCCAGTCCCAGCCTCAACCACCATAACATTATAGCCCTGACACGTCTTTTGAGCCTATCCCCTCCACCTATAGCCCAAACAACTCATTTGACCCGACCCTCTCCAACTACCCCTCCAACTATCCACTATTTGACTACCACACCCCACAACAACCAACACACCTAGACCAACCCAATTCCATGTACACATTCGGACAACCATACCGTCCATACTCCACCCAACCTCCCCGACAATCCTTCGAAAACATGGGCATTGGGCTTGACTACGGAAACGCCGTTGAGAGTGGACCTCCCGGCTATTGGGGTCAAATGATGGAAAATCTATCTGATACGTCGGGGTCGTCCCAATCATACCCTCCTCCACAACTCAACACGCAGAGACCGGACACACCACAACAATCTCGTCGTAGACCTCGTCGCAACGCGCATCCCCCCAATGTGGCACCGATGGTCCCTTGGATAGAGTCGGTCATTAGTTTTTTTTCTTTTGTTCAATTGTAATTGTAATTGTAATTTTTATTAATATAATTTTATATTTTTAACATTTCTATATTTTTTTAAGGTTATTTAAATTTCAAGTAATTAAAAAAAACTTAAACTATAATTTAATAAAATATATTTATTAATACATAATTAAAATATTTATTAATATTTAAAAATTTATTACAGTAAATACAGTAAAAAAAAATTTGTACGCAGAAAACCCTAGCTAATTCTATGTCGCCAATTGTGATGGCGATTTCTCCCATTTTCTTCAATATCGCCAATTCAACTGCCGAATTTGTTTTTTCCCATTGCCTGTGTCGCCATACAGATTGGCGATCCTCTGCTGAATGATAGTTGGTTTGGTAATTTATTTGGACACTGCATTTATATGATAAATACATGGCTAGTTAAAAAAAAAAAATTAAAATACTTGTCTGTTATTTATACTTATATTTATTTAATAATTGTTATTTAATTAATATTTTAGTTTTATTTATTATAAATTTTGAAATTTTGGCGGGAAGTTTTGAGGAGAAGTTGTAGATTTAGTACGATGATAACTGCCAGGTATAGACTGTACCGTTACGGTGCGAACTCTATACTGTATTTATTTGATTTCTTCTTCAACATGCAATGCATCATTTCATCATTAGTTTTTTCTCAAATTAATTAATGTTTTTTCTTTTCTTTGCTGCAGCAATCACATTCCAAGATAACCATCTTTTCTTGGAACAACTCAATTATTCCTTAGTTTAACAATGGTACTTTCTCAAAGTCTTCTTCTTTGTAATGAATTTATTATATATCATTATACAGTAACCACTCCGTTTTATAATTTGATTTTAGAAGATTAAATAACTTTGGTGTTTTTATTTATAGTTTGAGTTTACTACGATTCTTGTATATATACTAACCTTGTTTCTTTTCTGGTTCCGGTATGCACCTATATATCAATCTAAAGGGAAGAAAACAAAAAAAGAAGCCTACTCGCCAAACAGTTATTGAAACGGTGACAGATAGAATTAGCAACTTACCAGGTCATGTAATAGACCAAATTCTGTCTTACTTGCCAATTAGGGAAGCGGTGAGAACAAGTGTTTTATCCAAAATATGGAAGAACAAATGGTATACACTTCCAAATCTTGTGTTTAATAAACAAGGTGTAGCTTCCGAAGGCGCTTTAGTTAATCAGAGCAAGTTTGTGAAAATTGTTGATCATGTACTTTTACTTCATTCGGGGCCAACCAACATGTTCAAGTTCTCTGAATATGATCTTATTTGTGATGTTCTCGTGACTGATATTGATAGATGGGTTCTTCATCTAACCGGAAGGTCTATTAAGAAGCTTGTGTTGGAATTTCTGCCACATGAAGAAAAAGAATACTATAAGATACCTTGGTGCTTATTCTCTTGTCGAAGTTTACATCATTTAAAACTAAAGTGCTGTTGGCTTAAACCTCCAAAAGAGTTTCGAGGCTTTAGGAATTTGAGAAGTCTTGATCTAAATTTGGTTACTATGGCTCAAGATGCTTTTGAAAAAATGATATATGGATGCCCTTTGCTTGAAAAATTGAAATTGAAAGAAGTTGATGGTTTAACCCAAATTAATATTCACTCACCAAATCTCAAGATTTTTGAAGTTTTTGGTGAATTTGAGGGTATTAGCTTTGAGAAAACTTTCCAAAAATAATGATTTAAATATGACAATTTCTTAATGCACCTTTTATGTTTTTTAGATACCACACAAAAATACTCAAATATCTTTAAATTTCGAAGATATATCTCTGAACACACCTAAATCTTAATTAGAGTTAAAATATTTTGGAGATTAATTCGCGTCAGAACCCTTTTCTTTATTAGTCTCTCATTTTGCACAAAACCATTTCAAATTCTCTCAAATTTTTTTCTCACCATCAAGTCAAAAATCAAACAACAAAGCTCAAGGGAACTTCAACCAACATCAGAAACATCATCCGACCCTGAATCAAAGTTGAAATTTGTAAGTTTTTTGATGTTTTGGTAAATTTTTTAGTTTTTGTGTAAATGAGTAGAAATTGATGACTAACGTTAGAAATGAGTAGAAATTGCATGCATGTATGATAGTTTAAACATAGTGTATTACACATTTGTTGGCTAAAAAGGATGATCAAAACATTTTTTTTTGTGATTTCATGTGTGCATTGACGCCATTGACGCAGTTTCAGTTGCAGGGAATTTCGAAGATCCATCTCCGAAATTTTTCAACGTTTTACTTTCCTAGCAACAGGAGATGCATCTATAGAATTTTCTCAATAATTTTCTTTTATTTTTTTTTGCTTGTTGTGTTGTTTGCTTCCACTATGTGTCTGCTTTACTTTAACTTACATGCATAATGGTTGATAGCCACGATAGACTGAGGCAAGAGAGGATTGCAAAACACGCATCAGTGCGGCGGGAGAAGAGTCAATAGGTTTCGGAGGCTTCTGATCCCTCTGGCCTTTCAGAGTCATCTACTTCTGGAGCTCGTGCTTTTCTTCATGCTTCTTCATCTTATTCTTCTCGTAGGAGTCAAGATTCACCTACTGACGCATCACTCTCTCCATCCTCCCGCAGGCGCCAGACTTCCCCAATTTAGGCGCCTGAGATATCCGAGTCACCAGTGGTATCGGAGGCATCACTGCCACCTCTTACTGTTGATATTGTAGATGTTTATGATCTAGTGCCACCTCCTACTGCTGATGATGTTGAGCCAGTGTTAGACGATAGACTTCGATCTAGAGGAGGGGTGAATAGATCACAAATTTTACAACCAAAAACTTTTGGAAAAAATCTGTTTTCAAAAATATGGTACAATGGAAAAACTACCCGGATCGAATCATCTAACCGGACCTACTATCAAAAAGCTATATGCGTAATGCAAATCTTTTGGAATGATAATGAATACAAATCGTTCAACAATTATCAAGTCACAAATCAATCAAATGCAAATCTATTCGTAATACTTATTTCCAATGAACACAAAGCAATAAAAATACATACAAACAATTTATCAAACACTTTGCGTACGATTGATCACGTTTAGAAATTTGATTTATTTTGTTGATGTAAAAATCCAATCATGATCAAAGTGATTGTGATTATATCAACAACAACAATTTAAAAGAAAGTTAAAAATAATTTTCAATCGAATTAATCAAAACAATAACGAAATCGATAATTTGTAAGAACAACAATTAAAGAAAATTAAAGCGATAAAGAGACACAAAGATTTGTTTAGACAGTTCCCCAATCGGCCTCGCTATGGGTATGTCTACCCTCAATTCGAAATCGAATTGAGATACTTGCAATTAATCTTAACTCTGAAAAATTGTTTATACAAGAGATAAAGAACTCAAACCCCAAAATGCCTATGATTTGAGTTGATTCTTGCACCTTCAAACTCTTGATCAAAGCTTGATCAAGTGACCAACAATGCGACTGCAATCCTACAATTATCTCGAGAACGAAACTTGTTGAAACCCAAGATTCCCAAACACAACTCACAGTATTACGCTACTCCCTTGTAAGAAAACCACATTGTCCCAAGGCCTTCACTCGGTCGAATCTCTGTTGACGTGATCTTGTGCAAAACCTTCAAATCACACTGATCTTAAAGGAAAACCCCACCTTGGTTTTCTTATTTAAAGCACACAAAGTTCCCAACCCAATATTCTTGGTTACACCAAACCTAATTGGACGTTATCAATCCTAATCTAGATGGTCACCCAATCGAAAAATTATTATATGTAGTTCAATTGTGTGTATGCATAATTTCTAATGTAACTGTGTCCCTTTAAATCAACAACAAATTTCATTCTATTGATAGCATACCTAAACGATTACAATTAACAACAACATAAATTAAAAAAACATAACTTAATATCAAAACAACAATCCGAAAATAATAACAACATAACCTAATATCAAAATAAAAATCTTAAAATAACAACAAACCCACATGTTGCGGTTAGAATATGATTTCAAATTATTAATTAATTTGAATCGCATCTTTAGTTCACAACCGCTCTTTGATTTATCCGAAGGAAAAGGTCAAAAGAGGAAAACCTAATTTTGCATCGTAAAGACAATGCAGGAAGAGATCTAGGTAAGGGGTTGGTTAAGCTTAGGGAAGGTACTAGCACCCTAAACTTCTGTAGTACTCTACAGGAACCTTTTGTTTATTGTATGCTTTTATTTTATTTTATTATTTTTTTGAAATATATATTGAGCTAAAGGATACAGTGACCTAAAGACCTAAGGATTAGTCCTAAGTTTACTCGGCAAGATTCGCATCTTGTGCCTACGTATCCTGACGGGAATGGAATCAGAGTAATCGTAGTTCCCCTCGAAAGGGAGGTTAGAAACGTCTTGACAGTGGTCAAGGTTTCAAGGGGAATAAACGTATCTTAAGGACACGCTTACGTGGAGTCTTTGAAACTCCTATTTCTATATTGAATTTGTTAATTAAATTAGGGTTAAATTAGGGATTCCACGGCGGGAAACCCTAAAACAGAGTACGGCGACTCTTTGACCTAATGCTAGGGTAAAGGGTATTTTCGTCCACGGCGGGACACCTAAGCTAATTAGGGTTTTGAAATGGTTGAAACTAGGGTTATTGACTCGGCGGTCAAACTGTTAATCCTAATTCCTTCGGAGGGCAAAACAGTAAAAACATGCAAGCAACAAAATTATTACATGGCAGACGCAAAAAATATGGAAAATAAAGCAAGCAGAAAAGGAAGGCGTCGCGACCACTCGCGCAAATCACAAATTCCTCAAAAAAGAGGAAAAAAATGAAACAAAACCGCGACCATGGCCTCGCGTAAACTACATCCATGGAACAACATAAATTGAACAAATTATTAACCGGTGATGAACAGAAATCAAATACAATCTGGCATGGGAAACAGAGAACGTTAGTAGTTGGCACACAGAGAAATGTTAGATATAAATCAAAGGCCAAGAATATAATTTTGGATTTTATGTTTATTCTATTTATTTATTATTTATTTTTATTTTTTTTAAAAGCTCATGTTAGTTTTTTTTATTACGAAAGAGTTAATTTCAATTATAAACTAATTTAATTATATATAAAAAATTGAATACTAAGTACAACTAATTTAATTAAAAAAGGTTAATTTGACTTAAAAAATTGGTATTAAAATATTAAAACTAATTTAATTATAAAAAAAATGAATGATAATTACACAAAGGTTAATTTGACGGCAAGATATTAGTTAACTTACTTTACTTCCTTTTTAGCATGTTTATTATTTTTTAAGGCCTGGACTAATCATGTGAAACCTACATTTAAACCAAAACGTGTTATCTATTTTATTAAAAAAATTTGTATCAGTTAAGAAAAATTTTAAGAAAGGGACGGCCCCTTTTATTTGTGAACAGGCACAAATTCGTTTTTCTGTTTCCCTGCCAAATATCTACTAAGTACGTTAATTAATTATAAGTTCACATAATCCTGTAACAAATTATAATAAAACATAAAACAGCACTAAGTAAGAGCTTCCCATTTAACCCGTTAGGGTACCTTCATCCCTGACCCCTTTTCTCTCAACAGCCCGCGCCGCCGGTAGCCCTTAACATGTTCTTTTCGCTTCTTCATCACTTGGCATGTCCGAAACTCCCTCACGATTCTCAGACCTGTACCAAAACGAGTGAAATATAAAAAAATGGATTTCTTTACCTTTTCCGATCGGTGATGCCTTTGACGGTTGGCCGATGATGTAAACACTGAGGCTAGGAAGATTGCCCGCCGTCTCGAAGCGGCGACGGTGATCTTTGAGTTGCTTTTATGATTCGCGATTTCGGAAGGTGATGGCGATCTTCGTCTTCGTGGCGATGATGGCTTCGCGGAAGTCTGAGCCTCGGTACGGCTTTGCCTCTGGTGAGCTCGTTTTGACTACTCTTCTTCTGTGTGGTTGTTTTTACGGTCCTGCTGTTGATATTTATTAGGACTTTTGAAGGCGATGATGATGGATCGGAAGGATCCACTGAGCCGCCGCTTCCCTTTTTTCTTCCGTCCTCTTTCAAAACTTTATTATGATATTTATATGTTCCTGATCTTTGTTCATGGGCCTGGATCTGTCTTTATTTAGGTTACGAAAATGTTGCCTATTTTCCTGAACTATGAGCGCTGGATTTGCGTTTGACCGTGTTGGCTGCAACTTTCCTTCAAGATATTCATGTTGATTGCTTATGTTCATTGGGCTTTTGGATTCGTTATAACTTCTGGAAATTTTTTAGGCTGATATGTTGGGAGGCTTTGATGGTTGAGTTACGGGAATCTCGGTTTGACTTTACTCTTTTCCGAACTATTTTTCTTTTAGACCCGGTTTGGACCTGTGTGGATTTCGGTTTTGCTGAACTGCTTTGCGGGACAGGTTTTGAACTAGTTTTTCTGAACTGGATTTGAATTTCTGAACTTGTTTTGGATGGACCTCTGAACTGTTCTAAACTGGTTTGAATTGGTTTATCTGAACTGTTCTAAACTGGTTTGTCTGGTTTATCTGAACTGGTTGGAATTGTTCTTTGGAACTGAAATTTGAGCTGCTTTCGGAAATGGCTGGCGTTACGGTCCAATTTCGGGCAAACCGCCTTTCCGAAACAAAACACTTCTCGAGCCAATTCTTCAAACTATTTTCCTCTTCATCTTTC